AAAAAAAAACAGCAGAAATTTTTTGCTATATTACAGGGTGAAATTTCGACGACATGCTTCTCTGATACATTATACCTTATTCGAATAGACACATACAGCATTATTTTTATTTTTCTATGCAATTTGACAATTTGCACAGGGCAATTTGTCAGTAAATATTCAGTTAAGTCTAAAAATAGATTTAGAATATTATCTAACAGTTAAAAATTATCTCTTCTTCAGCCCTTCTAACAATAAAAATTAGACACGAGAAGACAAAGAAATGTTAGCTCAGAATAATCTCCCCTAAAAACGGAGAAAAAAATCTATACATTTTAATGTGGGGCTGAAAAAAAATAAATTTCAAATTTTCGAAATGTTTCTCAGCCACCGTTTTATCATTTGTGAGCAAACTAAGTTAGACAACGTTAAAGAGCACAAAAATATTATTAAAAGCAGACAGCTGTTCCGGATGCTCAAAGGGCAACCTTCATCAGTGCATCAGAAAGAAATGAGAGAAAAAAAGGGTAAATATATAGAGAAAGGTGACATCACAAGGGGATTAGAGCAACGGCCAATAGGAGGGAAGGGTGAAAGGATGACGACGAATGGGAAGCNCAAGGAACAAAAAGGTGGGGGGGGGGTTAGCTAGGTTTAATCATAGATTTCCAAACAGGAGGAAGATAAGGAACGCTGGATAGGTCATTGACCAACAGTTTGGAATTTTTGAAAATATTATAGGACTCATAAAAATCTAAATCAAAAATTGAAGAACAATTTTGAATAACTTTAGAAGAAGAAAAATCAAAATTATGATTAGATTCCCAACAATGTTGGGCAATAGATGAGCGCTTAAATTCTTGTTTTTTGACATAGGCTTCATGTTCCTTGACACGGTACTTTAAGGCAATTAATTTGGTATATACCCCAGCTACTTTGACTGTCAATGGGCTGCTTGAGATTAGAAAATTTTATCTTATTAATGGGACTGAAAATAATATTAAAATTAATAATAATAATAAAATAAAATAAAAAAACAACAGTTTGCAGCAATTTTCTGGCAACTATTTTTAATGTTAGTTCAGAAAAGAAACACAATTCTAATGAAACAAATTTTCGCTGATCTGTCAATGCATGCAATGAAAATGATCATGTGGCGGCAGCTGATTATTAACAGAAATTACATATTCAAAATTACATACAACTAATATTTAAAGTAGCCATTTAAAAAAAAAAAATAGATAGTTAATCACTCTGGTCACACTTCCACATGCAAATGTACACTTGTGGAACATTGATGTTATTTCAAAGGAAGAGAATGTATTTTTGACGTACCTTTTTTAGAAGGAAATAAAAGAGTATTAAACAATTAAAAAATTACAAGAATTTGATAATTTCTCATTTCTTAAATTAAATATTCACAGTTGAAAAACGCATAAAAAGTTGAAAGTTATATGAACAAAATAAAAAAATATTTTGGAATAACAAACTGGCTCATGTAAACAAAAATAAATATTTCTTAATTATTCACTTATATTTAATGTAAGCCAATCTCTTATTCAAAACCATTTTGAGCATCTGAGTTAATTAAGCCCTCCAATAAAGCTCACCTCCCTAAAGTAGTGAAGTAGTTGCTACAATTCCAAAGTAGTTAGTAATCACTAGGACTGGGCTATAAACCGACCCGTCGCGAAATACCGATTCAAAGCATATATCGGCAGGCCGATATAATGACTTTCCTTTAGGCGATGCATCAGAAATCTGATTTATGCTGCGGAGAGTGACTCTCGCTTTAGGCGATGCATCAGAAATCTAATTTGGCCATCATGTTAGACAACACTTGAGGATTAACGATATAACATGTGAGAATTCTTGCCTAAGCTGACGCTGTCACCGCGGCGACGAAGACGTTTTTGATTTTGTCTAACCACGGAGCTGTTGATAGCGTCTAGCTACGAAGACGGGTCTCTCTAGGTTTTTCTGAAAGGTACCTATTTTGTGAAAATTTAGACATAAATTGTGAAGATTAAAATTATATTAAAAAAATCAACACAAAAATATGGATTTATCTGCAAGTTGAAGTTCCGCTACATGATAGTAAATTTGGCCTAGATAGACTCCTGTCAAATTAACAATAATTGCATGACTTTTTTTGTTTTTGTTTTGTTGAAATTCTGAAATAGTTTTAACATCTAAATTCCCTAGTCTTAACATCTCTTGAAAAAAAAAAACTGAGCAAGTTAATACTACATAAAAGATTTTCTTGCTTTTTTTCCTTCTTTCTAACAGGACAGTTTTAAAACTGCCTTTCTCTCCATTAATTAATCATTCTAATTCACATTACAGTCACATATAAAATGAAAAATATAAAAACCACTCCATATAATTAATTTGTAATATTTACCTTTGACCTATAAAACAAGCTTCTCTTCTTGTTTTTATCTCAGATACTTTTTTCATTGCTTTAACTGTAAAGTAAGAAAAAAGTTAATTTAAACATCCAGCATTTTTATCAGATTTAGTTTACCAACGGCTAATAAATTGTACACTGAAAACTTAGAAAAATTATATGAATGATAATGAGGAAACTAATAATTCAAAAAGCACTTTCAATCAACTACCACACAACCTAATCAGGTTCTATATAAATGAATAACTTAACCATCTGGCTGCAACTTGAACTTACAATAATATCGATAAAATGAAGAAAAAAAAAGAAATAATAATAACAAAAACTAATGATTTGAAAAGCAGTGGTCCTCGTTTCATTTTTGTCACATAACCCAAACTGAAAGCTTTATATAAATAAGCTGGCTTCAATATCCAGATAGAACTAGAATTCAGTGTTGAAATAAAAAATAATAACGTGGGCAATAAAGTGAAAACTAAAGATTTTAAAAATAACAGTGTTTTTTTAGCCACTTATTCAAAAAGATTTTATTTTAATAAACTAACTTCACGTTCTAGCTAGAACTTTAACTCAATAATGAGATGGGGGTGATTACCGGATTAGTAATTTCGTTACCAGTGATTTTAGTCACTGATGCATGTTAAAAAATTTAAATAATCACAATGATCATGAAACACTGGCACTATTGACTTAAACAGCAAGCTAGAAATTTAATTCAAAACAGCATAATGATAAAAATATGCATCATTATGGTTTTTTTTTTCCAAAATACATATTGAGACTATATAAATAAGCCACTACAGCTTGAGGAAAATATTTTTCTTTACACAGTTAAAATTAAGATCACCATCACAATTGTACTAATTTAATAACAATTGAGAAAATTTTTAGCAAAAAAAAAATTGACATGGATTTTTTACTTTCTGCTAAGCATTTTCAATTTCTATCTAAATAAATAAAAATGAAGGCTAACACTACAAAGGAAAAATCTAATAAATTTAATTTGATTATTAAAAATTTAATTTTGATAATCAAAGCATTAATCATTGTAAGAGGATAAAACAGATAAAAACACAAACGCGTAAGATTTAATTGTAGAGGACTTGATAGAATTTAAAGCACTTGATGTACTTAAAAACTTATGTCAAAATATATGCTTTAAGAAAGTAAAATTTTTTTTTACAATACAGAAATCAATAGCAACAAAATGTATGAAGTAACTTGAGAAATTTTATAATCTATGATTTTAAAACAAATTATATACTTGTTTCTCGCCACAACTCTCTATTGTATTGAACAGGGACATTGCGTCGTTTTTCGAATTCAAATGCAGGATCTACAGTAAGTTCTTTGCCAGCAGCTTTTCTAAAGGCCTTTGTCCACTTCAGCTTTCTAGGATTTTTCTTTCTATTAAACATTTTTCGACATTTGGATCTACAGAATCTGAATATCTGAAAAATTTAATTTTATTTTAGCATTGAATAAAATGTGTAGCATCAGTGAAATAGTATCAAACTTAAAAATGAGTTACATCACAAAAACACTGTACTGTATGAAAACTGTATGAAAACTTTTACATTTTCTTGGACATTAACAAAACTATGATGGTATTGATTTAAAAAAAAAAAAAAACTGGATATTGTTATATATTTTTTTTTTACAAAAAATTTAGGGCAATATAATTAGCTGCTATATACTTTTAATTCCTGGAGCCGTATTTAATTACATAGAAGAAAAATTAAAATAATTTTAATTAATTTGTGATGAAAGATGTAGTCATTTTCAGGGTTCACAAAAATACAAAATTTCTATGAGAAAAGATAAACTTTTAGATACCAGCATTATATGGAAAAGAAGGTAGATTTAAAAAAAAAATTTAACAGAAATATGAATGCCAGCTATGATTTTTTAGGCGACATGGCTGCCCAACGGTTCGTAGACTCTAGGCTTTTTTCTAGTAATATACATAGTTAATGCTTAGTAATTTTTTTCTTTTAAATACACGCTTTCGATTTTAATTCCAACCACTTCACCCTGTGGCAGAATTTTTTCTGACTTTCTGCGACAAACCTAATTAGAACCAATACCTTTCTGCAAGATATTTTTATCATTATAAATGTATGTGTAATGAATTTATAATAATAGATGAAATTCGTGTTTATAAAATAAGTCTACATGCATAGAATTAAACTGCGTAGTTTTTTTCTTAATTACATAATATAAGTTTACATTTCTTAATAAGTTTAAATTGCTTAAGTATAAATTTGCATAATCTTCGATAATAACGAAAAGTTATAAATGTATAGATCTGCAGACAAAAATGCTTACTAGAGCATAAATAAAGATTACCCAGAACCTGTAATAAGATAGAACTTATAGAAATAGCTAAGAATGGACAAAAAGATTAAATTTATAAAACAAGATAACTGAATTTGAAGTATCAGTTTAAAACAGTATGATTTAATGTTTCACTATAGTAGTTATATCAGGTACAGAAACAAATCAGGTGAAAAAATTAATATTGAAGTTGAGTAATCAAAATAATAAAATAGTATTGACTATAACCGAATTCTAAAAGCAAAAAAATTAAAGCAATGTTTGTTTCAATTTTTTCTACATCTAATTAATTTTATCTAATTAATTAGATGCGATTAATATTGTACTGACTTATTGAAAGATTTTTTTTTTAAAAAAAGGAGGTAAATAAAACTTTTTTCGTGATCAGATTAAGTTCAGAACGAAAAAAATACACAGCGCTTGTGATTTCGCACTGTATTGTGTAAATATATAGCACTGATTCCACACGAAGTATGCAGAAGCAGTTTCCGACTCAATATGCTCAAGTCTATTCAACATCTCGAAACGAAATAGTCTTTATCAGTACTGAAACATCGGTATTAGAGCCATATTCATTGGATGCGATTTTTTTCGCATGCGTATGGAAACCTGTTTGAAAGTGACCAGTAAATATTTTTCACCAATCTGGTTTTCATTCGCATGCTAAAAAATCGTAGATAGTGAGATATCTTTCAGGCTTTATTTCATTTATCGTTAGATTGCGTTTTTTTTTTTTATCGACGATTTAATTCAAAGCATATAGGCATTTTTAGATGTTGTCGACTTCCATCTTATTTCTTTTTCGGAATGCCGCCTTGATAAATCAGTTTTCAAATTTGTTTTAACTATTGTGGCTTCACAATTGCAACAAATAACCTTTTCGCTAGACATGATTTTTTTAAAAAAAGAATCTTTTTACGCATGAAATTTTCCACATAAGTGCAAAAAATATAAAATGCTCTGTTCTCATAAAAAAACACAAAGCAAATTACTGCGCCAGCGATAGAGGCCGAAGTTGGCAAATTTCCAAAAATAGCTTAATAAAGGGGAAAAAAATTCTCCCCTTTTTATCCAGTAACTGTTTGTGTTGGAGATTAACGGAGAATTACGAGCGCTTTCTCCTTCCGCGGTACGCTAGAAAAAAAAATATTTAAAACAATTCTGTAAGAAAAAAATTTTGCAGAACCATTATTGCTTCTGCAGAAATTTTTTGTTTCTGAAGAAAATGTTTTTTTTTGTTGGTAAAACAGCTTCTGTTTCTGCAGAATTTATTTTGAGAACTTTTGTTTGTGGCAAACCAAAAATTTTTATTTCCCAAATAAAAAAAATCTTTCTGCAAGAACTCAGTCGCTTTCTGCGACAATGTCGCCGTGTTTCTGCCACGGGGCCACTTCAAATGATCTAAATTTGTCGTAATTTTGTACTTTTATGAAGATTGAAGAACAGATCATGGCAGTCAAGTATTTGATATTGAGAAATCAGGAGTTACATTTTAGAACGTAAAATGATGGAAAAGAGATAAAAAATCAATAAATCAGTTTTAAAATTGTAGATAACTTTCAAAAAGAAGAAAAGACTTCATTTTACCTATAATATTATAGAGGCAAAAATACAGTACAATAACATACACTGACAAAAACACTGCTTCAATAAAATTTAGATATGCCCATTAATAAAAAAGAAAGTGGATTAGAATATTTCTAGTGGATTAGATATACTTCTATTAGAACTGGTAAAAATTAAAATTAATCTACTCTACAATAATGTAAAATTATGGGTAGATATAAACACAATATATATAATAGAGATTCCTGCCCAGTATTATGGATTTTAGTCACTCTATTTGAGGTACACAGATGATGCTCATAAAGTTACTTTAGAATTTATATGAGTTCTAAGAGATACATAATAAGTTTCCCTTCTAATATTAGAAGAATAACAGCAAGAATAATACTTTACAACTATAAATAATGATGGTTCTTATTATAATGATTTAACAGCAGCAAAAACTTCTTAAGTAGCACCTCGGGAAAATAGAATCATAAATTAAAACAGAGAATTTTTTTTACCACAACGTAAGTAATCAATCGAATAATTAAAAATTAATTAATTCTTAACAAAGAGATTTCATTATGTAATATTTAGTATTGAAATAAATGCAACCTATTATCTAAGCAAGATTGACTAATACATTTTGAAAATGTAATAAATTGGTAATGAAAATACTGACATTTATCTTTTTTAATATATATTGATACATTAATTATTTACAGAAGGAACAGAAAAAATTACTTTGCAGTCATTTCGAATAAACTGAATGCCGTGGCCTGGATAAACAGGTGAAGAACAAAAATAACAGTGCTCAACTCTCATACTTTATAAAAAATAAGCTGTAATTAAAGTCAAACTTTAAAAGTTATTAGAAATTTATTTATTTTACGCATGCATCAACACACGATCGAAAACCAAAACACGTCAAAGTAGAAGTTGAAGTTATTTGATTTTGGCCAAGAAACAACTTCACACATGTGGCCAGTCTCCGAATTTATTTTCATTGCATTATAGAAAAATGAAGGGACTATTTTCACTGCTTAGGAAAAATATTTCACTAATCAGGCTCGCATTCACATGAGATCACATGTGCAACTTGCATACAGTGAGAACAGTTCTATAATTTCTAAGGATTGTTGTTGTTAATTTACGTCGCACTAGAGCTGCACAATGGTCTATTGGCGACGGTCTGGGAAACATCCCGGAGGATGATCCGAAGACATGCCTTCGCAATTTTTGATCCTCTGCGGAGGGGAGTATAATTTCTAAGGATTGCACGTACTTGAAAAGGATGGTGTTTTCGACTCTAGGACGTGCTTCAGACTCTTTACTGCCTATTGGCGATTGCAACACTCGAATACGCCATCTGTTGAGAGACCGGTTTTATGCCTTTAGCCCTTCTCCCTTCCCTCTCCTCCTCTTCTCAGTTGTATAGGAATGTACTACGATATTTTCCCCTTTCTCAACAATTTTCCTCTTTATTTAGCAAAAATATTTTTTAAAAGGAAAATTATTAAGAAAATTCTTAATAATTTTCTTTTTAAATAGCAAAAATTTCGGTGATACTTTTCTTTAGAGCTATGTTTAATGTAGTTTTCAGTTCCGTATAGTTTTCCAACTTAAAAGATTTTAATCTATATGAAAATCAAGAGAGAAACTAACGTACTTCCTTCCTCTATGACTTTCCACAAGCTAATGGGGAAAGCATGCGAAGTGCTGCCATAGGTAAAGAGTTCTGCTCCACGCCACCTGCAGCCCATTTCGATCGCCAATAGAAAGTTGATTGAATGTATATAATAACAAACTTTTTAAAACCAGAAAAAATTTAGGAAATATCCGGTGAATCCCTCCTCTTATGTTAGGGCGACGCGTGAACAGGCTTCATATGGATGGTGTTTTCAATATAAATGTAAACAACAACAATCTCGAGCTCCATACCTACTAATAATCCCAGAAAGCATGTAACCTTACGACA